TCACATTTAAACTATAGGTTATATATGCTGTACTCGGGCAGAAAAAATGTTTTTACATTTTGCCCATGTCCTGAGACTTTCTGGGAGACTGAGATTAAAGCCAGTGGACTAGATCATCCGGTGGGTGAAATGTCAAAGCCGCCCTACGTCCAGACTATGGCATGAATACTGCTAGGTGCTTTATCCAGATGTACACTGAGAATTGGGTGAAAGAGCGGTGCAGAACATTTGAAAAATTTAAATTTTAGATCAAAAAGAAACATACGGAACATTGAGGTCATAGGAAGTGTAGCCATGGAAGAGATTAGCGCCATTAAAAAGAAACCAAGTACTTCATGCAAGTACAATAAAAGGGATGTCTTGAAGGCATCTCAGACATCATCAAGACCCATCACACGCTCAAAGGTGCAAGAATGCAAACTTCATTTGAGGAGCAATCCCTTGGGACATTGACTCAAGAAGAGAACCCTGCAGAATTGCTTCTCAAGACTCAGTTCTATATGGTCAGTTGTCTAGGCACTGAGGGGTGCTACTGCAGATCCCAAGGGCAAGCAGCTACTGCTCAACCTACCAGCAGATCACGGCATCATGCATCTGATGCTTATTTTACTGGCATGTGGATTACAAAAGTTGTTGGGTCAGGGAAGGTCCAACCCAGAATTCAAAGGGAGGCCTGAAGGCAAATAACTCAAAAGGCAGTGCATAAAGCGGTTGTGATGCAGCTAAATGTGCAGTGGAGACCGCAGGGTGTTGGAGATGCTAGGAATATGGGAAGCTCTAGGGTATGAATGAAGCCAGCCCAAGACAGCACCATACGAGTTGTAACCAGCAAGGTAACAGGGGTGGAGTCATCCAAGCCTTTTGAAACTTGCATCTCACAAGCATATTGCAAGTGCTGGAAATGGAGCTACAGGACTTAATGTTTCCCACGTTAGACTTCCATCTCACTTTGCCTGTATTTCTTACTTTCCTAGTCTTCTGTTTTGAAACAGGACTATTCATCTTTGCCATTATATCTTGGAGTAATGTGCCTTGTGTTTTAAAAGGTGAAAGATTTATATGATCTGAAGAGAAACCAGAGTATTATACCTTGTCTTTTAAAATTTCTTTTTACAGAGATTCACAGCTAAAAGTTGCTTGTATCTCGTAAGAAAATTTGACTGCACTTTTAGAAAAATGCCAGACCTGTTGAAACCTTGGGAGGCAGATAATTGCCTTTCCAGTCATATACAGGATAGCTTTCATATGTCAAGCCAAATTATAAATTTGCTTTTTTCATTTCAACATTAAGTATAGTTCAATGAGATTAATCTGGGTTTCAAGTTGACAAGGGGTAGCACTGTATGGTTTAGCTACCTGTGTATATTTGTTTGGACTGAGAAGTACTCAGGATATTGGTAGAGTACACTTTTGAGTACATCAGAATGTGTCCTGGAGGCTTAACCTTTGGTATGCATTCCCTTGCCTATTGTGCTTGAGTGCTAACCTCTATTGTCCTCCTAGCTACCATAATCTACAAAGCTTTGCTCTCTTATGCTCTACTGTCAAGATGCTCCTGCCTTGGCTCCTATTGCCATGTACTGAATCTCCTGTAACTGTAAGCTAAATTCAAATTCTCCTTTGATTTGTGGATGCTAGTGACTGTGTCCCCAGATTGTGAAATTGACTAATACTTCACCAGTAGAGACCCCCATAGCCAGTGAAAGTATGGAAACAAATATATCTTCCCCCTACACCCAGCAACAAATATTTCTTTCAAGTGTAAATCAAGAAGAAGAGGAATAGCTGGGATTATAATTTATAATTATAAAATAGATTCTAAGTGAAAAGCTTTAGGAAGAGACCAATAGTTTATGTAATTGTAAAGGGATCAAGACATCAAGAAAAAAGAACAATTATAAACATATATGCACCCATTACCAGAACAGTCAGTTGTCTAAAGCATACATTACAGATAGACTCCAGCACAGTAATAGTTGAGGATCTCAACACCTCACTTTTATCAATGGACTAGTCAAAATAAGAAAGAATCACAACTGAACTCCGACAAACAAAATGCATCTAATAGACATTACGACATTTATCCAAGAAGTATAGGATGTATACTAATAAATGACTATGATGAAGTATAAATATAACATTAGATATTTGAACAATATATAGCAAAATAAAGTAATACCGCATGTTTGCTGGCATTTGTTATTTGTGAATAGTATTGTAATCAATTTTCAAAAGAATAAATCTGTTAAGCTAGATTCGATACGTTTTGATAAGATCACATTATGAATATCTAAAATACCCAGATAACAGCTTATTTACCACTGTCTTCTTCAAGATTCTCCCTCAATATGTCCATCAATCTGAAGTAAATGAATAGATTTAACAAGCGGTATATGGAATACTGCATAGCAAAACAAAGAATAAAATCATGTTATAGGCAAGTAAATAGATGAAGCCTGAGACCATAATCTTAAGTGAAAAAAGTCAGAAGGTAAAATGTCACCTGATTTTTCTTACAGAAAAAATATATAAAGAAATCACAGGTAAAATAAAGGAGAAGTGGTAAGAATAGCAAAAGCTTGGAGTAAGGCCAGGGAGATAGCTCAGTAGAATAAGCACTTACCTGGAAAACCCAAGGTTCTGAGTTCAAACCAGTACTGCCAAATTTGGTACCACCAAAAAAAAAAAACTTGGAACTGGAGTCAGAGATTAGGAATAGAGGGCAGGTTAGGGAGAAGATATGGAAAAAACAAAAATGATCAAGATATGTATGTGCCCCAATTCCCAGAACAAACATAATTATCACATACTGTGAATATATGTCAATAACCTAAAATGAACAAACAAACATACTGTAAACTGCCTTGTCCCTGTCAGTTCCTCAATGCAGGAGGTGCCTTTGATCACTCAGCACAGTCTTAAAGACTTCTAAGCCACTCTTTCTTTATGTCTACCTTCCAAAACAGCAGTGAGATATGAGTAGGGTCTCCCATTGTGAAGCAACACCTAGTAAAACTATGTTTGCCTAATTAGCAAGCATTAGTGGTCATATGGAGGAATTAATAGCTAACAAAAGTAAACATTAATATTATTTATTATTTTTTCTTTTATTCTCTGATATTATATACTCACAGTTCTCTTTTTAATTGTTATAAGCCACTATAAAGTATTTTGTTTCAAAAAAGAATAAATTTAAACCTCTCACTGCATAGTCATTTATGTTTTGAGAACATTAAAAATGATGCCCTTTTCACGTATGTGTATATTAAAATAAAAAGTTAATTTTCACTTTTTCCCTTATTGGCAACTTTTGTTGCATGTTTAGATTTTGTTCCCAGAGGTCATTTTTCACAAATCTTGAAGATGTGCCTCTACCCAGCATGCCAGCTTTTTTCTTCCCTGTGATTTCCTTTGACTATATTATTTACATTTAAATTTGTAGTAGAAAGTATTCCCCTCAGAAAGATTGACTTGCCCTCATTGACTTTCCCATAGAACACAATGATGACATTTTAAACATTACGGTATATTTTATATTTATACTTTACCAATCTTTTGGAAAGATATTCATGGATTTATATAGATCAATTTTTCAGATTTTTTGAGACAAGTTTTCACTGTGTAGTTCAGGATACCGTTGAACTCACTATGTAGCCCAGGCTGGCCTCAGATTCACAGTGATCTTCCTGACTCAGCCTCCTGAGTACTGGGATTACAGGGGTGTTCCATAATGCCTAGCCTACATTGGTCAATCTTACAAGCATCAATTTTTAAGACAACTGTGAAGCTGAAGTTAAATGTACTTCGTAAACATTTGTACTATTCGAAATGAATAATAACCTTATGAAGTGTGCTATCTCTAGGCTGAAATTTTAAGTATATGTGATCTTACTGCATGATATTAAGAATGAAATGGTTTACAGCAGGCCAAATAAATCAGCAGATCAAAGTGCCTGGTTAGGCAGATGCAGGGACCTGGGTTCAATCCCCAGCTTGCAGTGACACCCCAGGGCACACTGAGAGGGCAATTGAGACTGGGCATGATGGTGTGCACCTGTAATCCCAGGGTTTGGGAGGCTGAAAACACAAGAATCACTACAAGTGTGATCTGTGTAGTGAGACTCTGTAGAACCTGTACTAAATACATTTTTAAAAGTCAAAGAATGAAATGGCTTAAATATCTACTGTTTTCTGTGTAGTTAATTCATTATCTTTTCATTGTTACAGAAATTATTGCTTTTTTGATATTCAATGTATAAAATAAAACTTCAGTACTTCCATTCTTAGTATATTGACTCAGCGTTGTATCTAAAATAAAATGTATTCTTAATAACTTTAGGTGGGAAAAAGGCTATATGCTGGTGGCTGAGTGTAGGTTTGCCAGTGGCACCCTTTTAATAAAGGCTTTACATATTGTGTAAAATATATTTCATTTTCAAGAATTTTTAGGATACAAATGAGAGACCTATTTCATCCTAACTCTCAAAAGAAAAAGAAAACCTGTCATAACTACAACCTCTAAAACTGTGCAGGTTTATATATACCTCCTTCTTGCAATTAAAAATTCCATAGCTTAAAAAGCCCTTATTTATCATGAATCTAAAGTACAATGTCTATGTCTACTAAAATAAAATATCAATATCCAATTGTGTTGAGTCCACAGGGCTTTCTTCTGAGCCTTTTAATAAATTCATTCTTTTAATGAATTCTAGACTTTAACATCCTAAACAAGTAAATTTTAAGATTTGCAGAAGTATAAATAAATTAAATATGCAAATACTATATATACATAAACATATATACATAAACAGGCTATTAAAACTGAGAAGTTACTTTAAAAGTATTTTTAAATGTCATTATACAGCCTCAAAAATATATTAAGTGATTTTGATTATTGATTAATATGAAAAAAATCTATGAAGAAAACAATGTATATTGTCATACTTTGTAACAATCATTCCATTTCTGTGTCATAGCTAAGAGCAGAACTATTCACAAACCTCATATGTTGCTGGGCCTGGGGTAACCTCAACAGCATCTTCAGAATGCCTTGATGCTTTAAAAAATAAGGGTATGGGGCAAGATTTCTTGAAAACAGGATTATATGTAGCAGGCCCTAAGAGAAAAGAAAGAAAGGAATTATAGCAATGTATGTTTTAAAGTTATTGATTTTTGTTGCATGGATATTATTATGTTCATGCTTTAATATATAGTATAAGCAACAATCTTGGGTCCATTTTTCTGGATGCTTAAAATCATTCAGTTAGGTGTAGCACAGTAACACCTATTTTCTTAATATACATATTACAGATGTAACTTCCAAAAGAAATGGGGAACAGGGAGAAAAAAACAGACTTCTTAAAGATACATATATCATGGAACAAGATAGCTAATTCCTTCAGTTCCCAAATATCCTTCTCATATGTCAGTGAGGACGTACTGCTTGAATTACCTTTAAGAAATGGGAAGAGGAGTTTTAAAAGCAAATGGTGATTTAACAGTATTCTGGGTATTAATATTATAGAAACCAAGCACAAAATGGAACTTAAAACAGTTGAGTATAGTAAATAGTGTTTGAGTAAAATAGAGCTAAATCCTAAATAAGAATTTTATTTTTTAAACCAATGAGTTTCACATTGTATTCTATAATGCCTGTGAAAATGACCACAGAATATTTTAAATGTAGTCCCAAGCTTAAGAAGTTTGAATGCATTCATTCAAATAGCTCTAATGCTAATTTTTACAGGTTTGGATCTCATGTAAGATTTTAAAAAAAAAATTTGTGAGAACCACTTCCAAAAACAGTGAGTAGTTCATGAAACTTTTATAGTAAAGAAGGTTCATAAGAAATATGGTTGTTTATAAGAAGTAAAATCTGGCAGTACTTTATAAGATGAGATGACTTGAAGGTGGAACATTTAGGAATATTATCAAGGTTTTTATGAACATTAATACGGAAATAGAATAACTCAACATTCTCTAAGAGGTATAATGATCATTAGTGTGAACAGTGGATAAAGACAAAAATGAATAGGGCCTGTGAAAATAATAGTACTTTTGCAAAAATAAGAAACCACAGAAAGATACCATTGCAGAGGAACATTATGGGTTTGGATAGGAACAAGTTCTGTTGGACATGATTGCATGATACCCCAAGAAACGGATCCAGAAGACAGCTATCAACTGAAAAACTCAGCAAGAAGGTTTGGAAAAAAGAATGCAGTTAGACAAGAAGAGATAATGGCCAAAGATTTTTAAAGTGAAAGGTGTGGACAAAGAAGACTAACTGAAGACTAAAAATTTTTGCTTGTAAGAGGAAAGGAAGACTAGGCAGACAGCTTAGCGGTCTAAGCACCTGCCTGGCAAGTGCAAGGACCAGGGTACTATCTCCAGTACTATACCCTTTACCAGCCCCGCACCATGTAGGCCACCAAAACTGTGCATGGTCCACACCTATAATCCCAGTGCTGGAGAGGCTGAGACAGGAGGATCACTATGAGTCCAAGCTGTGTAGTAAGACCCTGTACTAAATAAATAAATTTATAAATTAAAAAAAAATCCGAGGAAAGGATTCAAAATGGAAAAAGTCGAGTTAATAGAATCTAACTACAAGGGCTGGCCAGATAACTCAGTGAACTAAAGTGCCTGTTTAGTCAGGTGCAGGGACTGCAGTTAAATCACCAGCATATTATGCCAGCCCCACTCAGTGCCAGTCCCATGCCTGGGGTGTGCTGAGACTGTGATTGAGACTGGGAATGGTGGCACTCACCTATATCACAGCACTTAGGAGGTTGAAAACAGAAGGATCACTATGAGTCTGATTTGTGTAGTGAGAACTTGTAGACCCTGTACTGAATACAGTTTTTTAAAAAAGAATCTTACTAGTACTACTTTGTATAACAAAACAGGAAAGAGTTATCTTTTTTGCCCTTTCATTGAATGTCTTGTGTTTTAAGACAGTGTTCTAGGAACAAAAAAATCAAATGTTTCAGGGGCGAGAAGACATCAGGAGATTTATCTTCACTGTAGAGAATAAAGAATGCAATTAGAAGAGTGGTCATTAAAGAAATCAAATTAAGTATTCAAGAGACAATGTATGCGGAAAGAAAATAAAATGTGGAGACAAAACATTCACAGTAAGTGTAAATAATTAGAATAGAGTAGATATGAAAATAGTAATGCAAAGCCAAAGCTCCCAACAACATGAGATTCAAAACTACCTACTTAGAAGAATGCATTTCTGATGGAGCTTTAAAATCTAAATATTGTATAATATACAGGTTCATACAAATAATTCTAATAATATTGCCAAATTTTCAATTATCAATTGAAAATATAAAATAGAAAATGATATCTAAGCTATCAATCATTCTAATATCAATTGAATTCATGGTATATATATAAAAAATAATAAAGCCCTGTAAGAAGCTTTTATGTTTTTGATATAACAAGTAACAAGTAAAGTGTTTTATGTAACACATGCTATCTTACTATAAAATAATAATATATACGAATTTGGAATAATATAGCATATTTATATGTCGAAAAAGCCTGCATGTGTCATATACACAATATCTATTTATTTCTTCATTTCTTCATTTATTTATTTGGTACAGGGTTTTTCTATGCAGCTCAGATGTCTAGTGATCCTCCTGTCTCAGACTCCCCAGGGATGAGATTACAGGCATGAACCACCATGCTCAGTTTTGGTGGCTGGGCCATCACAGCATTGTAGCTTTTCATATACAAACTAAACTACATATAGGAAAAAATGTATTCTTTACTAAAGTATCCAAAATAACCCCACAAACTGTCAGCAAAAACTAGGTGTATAATTCCACAAACAAAAAAATTGAAAATTACAACTTTAACCGTAGTGATTCGTAAAGGCTAGTGCAGTAGGTAAACTATTCACCAAGCAGTGTTGTGACAATAAGTTGCATTCTCAATTATGAAGAAATGTAATCTGTCCTCTGCTATTTTCATCAACATACAGCAACACAGCAACTTGTGAATGTGTATAATCATAGTTATAACACATTAAAATAAAAAAGTATCCCAATGTAGTTGTAGTAGATTTCTTTATTGGAATTCCCTGAGGAACATTAAGTGAAACAGGATTTCTCAATGTGTGTCTTGCTGCATTTTTGCATTTAACCTGCTTTAAGCTACAGAGTATTTTTTAAGTCTATTTCACTTAATTTTAAGTTACATTTCTAATTATATATGCTACTGCTTATACGATATAGGTCAAAGACTTAAATTGCTCAACCAACTCCAATTCACATCTGGATTCTGTAGAATCTTTCTGCTATTTCTGTACCAAAATACCACATTTTAATCACAGGTCATCAAAGAAGAAAACTATAAAAAGCCTGCCTCAGTCATGGCTAGTCTATAATGAAATCTGAGAACAGGTGATTCCTATAATTACATATTTTCCAGCCCTATGCCAACTCATTCTCTATGAAATGTCAGCCAATGCTACAGGGCAAAAAAATGGAACAACAAAAACAATGAGTAATTTAAAATAAAATTCTATGCTTCTGGCACTTCAGCAAGCCATTTTAGTACATTAGTGTGGACCTAGAATTACTTCTATAAATAAGGCTGTAAAATCTCTGATTTTAAAAGACAATCTTCACAATGAACAAACATGTATAAATCATGTAGTCATTCTTAATGTGACTGCTGAGCTCTTTTTCCATGTGAACATGACAAATCTATCAAAAAGTAAATATGTAGAATATTTTTAGGACTTAGAAAAAACTTAGGAAGTCATTCATTGAAATAGTATAGCTTTAAAATATCATCTACCGAGTTTCCATTTTTATGGTATATATTTTCTCACACTGATTTCATTCTTTAGTTTCACAGGTGAAAGAAGTAATAGTAAAGATACTTTTCTAGGACACAAACAAGCATCACCAATGTCAGTGCCATCTTTAAGTTTAATATTCTACTACTTCTAAATCTTCATTTGATTAAGTGACATTATATATTATGACCATAGAATTACAGTCTATGGAATTGAGCATATAAATCAAGAAAAAAATCCAGAATCTAAAGTTGCATAAATGTCCAAAATGTCCGTGTTTTCTTGCTCAGAATCAAAATCTGTAGTACATATTTGAAGAAATGATACTTACTGTTCAAATGTTTCTTTAAATATTTAGTCTTTAAATACTTAAAAGTGATATCTTGAATTACTGTAGAATATACAGAAAGTACTGACAAAACAGCCACTAAAAATGGACTAACATACTGCAAACTAAGTAGATGGAGAAATGCCTCTTTTGAAGTCTGCCTAACCCCTACACCTATTAGAACATGTGCTCCAAGCATTGATTAAACAGTCGAGCTGTCACTATTTGTACACTGACACTATTATGACATTTAAGTACAAAATCACATATACTCAGTTTAACTGAAATAAGTCTTCAGAAAGTAGTGTATTTTTACCTATGTACCTGTCACCAATGTGCTTATCAAAAAATGTATATTCATAAGTGCTGTCCAATGAAATTTTGAAAAGTTGTTATTAAAAAAGATGTTTAGGAGCGGGGGCGCAGCTCCGGCGCAGCGGCCGTCGCCGGGTGCGCGCCCGCAGTCTCCCCCTCTTCTCAGTCTTCCTCGGTCCCCGCTTCTACCCCCCGGCCGCCCACCAGCCGCACATTGCCCGAGAGAGCTGCCGGGAGCTCCCCGGAGCCTCAGGTGGTGAATACTGGGAAATAAAAAAGTACTCCAAGAATAAAAAATATGCCTCCCAAATTTAAGCGCCACCTAAATGATGATGATGTCACTGGTTCTGTGAAAAGTGAAAGGAGAAATCTTTTGGAAGATGATTCAGATGAAGAAGAGGACTTTTTTCTAAGGGGACCATCTGGACCAAGATTTGGACCTAGAAATGATAAAATCAAG